CTACTTTTGTATGTTTGTCACTCTACTTTTGTATGTTTGTCACTCTACGTCTTTTGTATGTTTGTCACTCTACGTCTTTTGTATGTTTGTCACTCTCTTGAAAGGAAAACGGGAAGGAAAATGGGAAAGATAACGAGATTCATCAGCACTGACCTCCAACTGCTACTGAGAGCATCCAAGCTACAACCTTAAGGCAATTTGAGCAATTTCCCCGAATGTGTTTATCGAGTCTCTGAACCACGTGAAGACTCGCCGGTGTAATCTCCCCTGGTATTTGCCGCCCACACCGCCCCCTGGGGGAGGAAAACCTGTGATGGGGCGTCATAAACCAACGTGAATTTGCAGGAAAACAAAATGTTCGCTCAATTCGATATGGCAGAATGTGTTCATTACGTACAGATACAAGTACCCTTTGGTGGATTGGGGAGAAATAAATATAGCCACGGAAACCTTAACTCTGTCCGTACGCCCTGGGGTCGTTTTGTACCCCCGGGGTTGTATTCTTCGCATTTTAGAATACTTCTAGTATGAAGATCTCTTTAAAACTTTCAGTATTTCTCAAAAAATCATTTTGACAGACTGCTATGCAAAGCCTACGGATCGGATTAACGAATAAATTTCCTCTTTGGAAAATGGTGGCACAGAGTTCCCCACGTCGTATGGATACGATAGTAAAACACGACGTACGGATAGGTATAAAGGAGATGCAATCTTTCTAAGTTAGTATTCATGATCGTATGTAAATATTTACATCAATATATCGCTATCGGTTCTGCAGTATAGTGCTGTAAAAAATTCGTGGCGCAACTTTTTGTCAAATATCTCCTGAACTATCAAACTTAAACCTCTCCAGCTTTTGTATTGGGGCTTGTATCAATTATTTGTCTTAACAGATCAATATTTTGGTTTACACCTGTTAGATGTAGTTTAGAGAATTCCATAATAAACATTAATAAAAAATCCCAGTGGGTGATTTCTACAGATTTTCAAAGTTTTACAGCTGAGAGAATATCTCTTTTAAAAGCAAGCCTGTCACGTTTTTCTAATCGTGACTCTATCTTCATTGAACACACGTGTTGAAAACTACTTTCTGAGCAACAAGTTTTACGACTAAAAAGTGCCATTGGTGAGCTGTGACGTAGGTCATATACGTATACAAAATGTGTGAGAGAAGCGGGAAGTGCTGTGAACAATTCCATTTTCGGCGTGACGGAGATTTGTAGTATTTAAATCTATATAAATTTAGGAAGAAAAATTTTTAAAATTCAGCTTCCCTTGTTGTGGACAAATATTATTTAGTTAAACGTACTGATACAAACTGCTGTGTAAAGTATGGGTAACATTGACACACCCGTTAAGGAGATATTTGAGGATAAGTTGCGCCACGAATATTTGACCACTCTGAAGGTCCCTTCCTCTTTCTTGACTCAAGCCACTTCACTTCAGAGGCCTCCGTGATGTTGCGATTAGCCGCCGCCCTCTCACATGCGGCTGACCGTTACATCGCATCCCTCTGTCTCTCCTCCACTTTAAAACTTTAGAAAAAAATCTCAAAACTCAAATTTCAACATTTTCACCATCTTCC